CAGAAGATCAACACAGAAACAAGGGCTTTGAATGACACCCCTGGACCAGATGGACTTCAGAGTTACATACAGAACAGTTCATCCCAAAGCAAAAGAATACCCATTCTTCTCAAGTACGCATGGAAGTTTTTCCAGAATAGGTTACATCCAGGGTCACAAATCAGGTCTCAACTGATGCCAAAAGATTGAGATTATTTCTTGCATATTTTCAGACCACAGTGCTCTGAAACAAACTCAGTCACAAGAAGAAATTTGGAAGGAACTCCAACACTTGGAGGTTAAAGAGCATCCTACTAAAGAATGAATGGGTCAACTAGAAAGTTAAAGAAGAATTTGAAAAATTCACAGAAACTAATGAGAATGAAAGCACTTTGGTTCAAAACCTTTGGGATATAGCAAAGGTGGCCCTAAGAGGGAAGTACATAGCAATATAAGCCTCTCTCAAAAAATTAGGAAACTCCAAAATATACAAGCTATTGTATACTTGGAGAAAGAAAAGCAAATAAAGCCTAAACCAAGCAAGAGAAATAATAAAGATTAGAGCAGAAATCAGTGAAATAGAAACCAGAAGACCAGTAGAACAGATCAATGAAAGTAGGAGCTGGTTCTTTGAAAGAATTAATAAGATTGATAAACCTCTGGCCAGACTTATCCAAAAGAAAAGAGAAAGGACCCAAATTAATAAAATCACAAATGAAAGGAGAGATCACAACCAACACTGAAGAAATACAATTATAAGAACATATTATAAGAAACTATATACTAACAAATTCAGCAATCTGGAAGAAATGGATGCTTTCTTGGAAACTTAGAAACTACAAAGACTGAAACAGGAAGAGGTAGAAAATCTGAACAGACCCATGACCAGCAAGGAAATTAAAGCAGTATTCAAAAACCTCCCCAAAAAACGAGCCAGGGCCAGGGGGATTCTACCAAACATTTAAAGTCAGGGGAATTCTACCAAACATTTAAAGAAGAAATAATAACCTATTCTCCTGAAGCTGTTTCAAAATATCGAAATGGAGGGAAAACTTCCAAACTCCTTCTGTGCGGCCAGCATTACCTTGATCCCAAAACTAGACAAAGACCCCATCTAAAAGGAAAATTAAAGACCCATATCCCTGATGAACATGGATGCAAAAATTCTCACCAAGATACTAGCCAGGAGGATCCAACAGTACATTAAAAGGATTATTCACCATGATCAAGTAGGATTTATTCCTGGGCTGCAAGGATTCAGCATCTGTAAATCAATCAATGTGATACACTACATAAATAAAAGAAAGGACAAGAACCATATGATCCTCTCAACAGATGAAGAAAAGTATTTGACAAATTATAGCTTCCTTTCTTGATTAAAATGCTTCACAGTGTAGGGACAGAGGGAACATATCTCAATATCATAAAAGCCATCTATGAAAAGCCCACAGTGAATATCATTCTCAATGGGAAAAAATGGAGAGCTTTTCCCCTAAGGTCAGAGATGTCCACTATCACCACTGCTATTCAACATAGTATTAGAAGTCCTAGACTCAGCAGTCAGACAACAAAAAGTAAAAGGCATCCGAATCAGCAAAGAAGAAATCAAACCCTCACTCTTTGTCGATGACACAATACTCTGTGGAAAACCCAAAGGACTCCACCCCAACACTGATAGAACTCATATAGGAATTCAGCAACATGGCAGGACATAAAATCAATGCACTGAAATCACTTGCATTTCTATACACTAACAATGAGGCACAAGAAAGAGGAATTAAGGAATCGATCCTATTTATAATTGCATGGAAAACCATAAGATACCCAGGAATAAACCTAACCAAAGAGGCAAAGAATCTGGACTCAGAAAACTATAGAACACTTATGAAAGATATGGAGGAAGATACAAAGAAATGGAAAAATGTTCCATGATTATGGATTGGAAGAACAAATATTATTAAAATGGCTATGCTACCTAGAGCAGTCTGTTCAATGCAGTCCCTACCAAAATACCATTGACATTTTTCACAGAGCTGGGCTAACAATCCTAAAATTTGTATGGATCCAGAAAAGGCTCCATATAGCCAGGGGAATGTTGAAAAAGAAAACCAAAGCTGAGGGCATCAGAATGCCTGACTTCAAGCTCTAGTGCAAAGCTGTGATCATCAAAACAGCACAATACTGGCACAAACAGACATTTAGATCAGTGGAACAGAATAGAGAACCCAGAAATGGACCCTCAACTCTATGGTCAGCTAATCTTCAACAAAGCAGGAAAGAATATCCAATGGAAAAAAGTCAGTCTCATCAATAAATGGTACTGGGAAAATTGGACAGCCACCTGCAGAGGAATGAAATGGGACCATTCTCTTATACTGTACACAAAGAAACTCAAAATGGATGAAAGACCTAAATGTGAGACAGGACTCTATCAAAATCCTAGAGGAGACCACAGGTACTAACCTCGTTGACCTTGGCCACAGCAACCTCTTGCAAGATACATCTCTAAGGCAAGGGAAACAAAAACAAAAATGAACTATTGGGACTTCCATCAGGATAAAAAGTTTTGCACAGCAAAGGAAGCAGTCAACAGAACTAAAAGGCAACCTATGGAATGGGAAAAGATATTTGCAAATGAGATCAGATAAAGGGCTGGTATCCAAGATCTATAAAGAACTTAACAAACTCAGCATCCAGAGAACACATAATCCAGCCAAGAAATGGGCATAAGACATGGAAAGACACTTCTCCAAAGAAGACTTACAGATGTTCAGCAGACACATGAAAAAATGCTCCACATCATTTGCCATCAGAGAAATACAAATCAAAACCACAATGAGATATCACCTTACGCCGGTTAGAATGGCTAAAATTAACAGGGCAGGGAACAACAAATATTGGCAAGGATGTGGAGAAAGGGGAACCCTCTTACAGTTTTGATGGGAATGCAAGCTGGTACAGCCATTTGGAAAACAGTATGAAGGTTCCTCAAGGAGTTAAAAATAGAGCTACCCTATAACCCAGCAATTGCACTACTGATATTTACCCCAAGGATACAATTGTAGTGGAAAGAAGGGCACATGCACCCCAATGTTCATAGCAACAATGTGCACTATAGCCAAACTGTGGAACAAGCTGAGATGTCCTTCAATAAGTGAATGGATAAAGAAGATGTGGTTCATATATACAATAGAATATTATTCAGCCATCAGAAAGGATGAATACCTACCATTTACATCAATGTGGTTGGGACTGGAGGGAATTATGCTAAGTGAAATAAGTCAAGCGGAGAAAGACAATGACCACATGGTTTCACTCACATGTGAAATGTAAGGAATAACGCAGAAGATCATAGGGATGGGGAGGGAAAACTGAATGGGAAGAAATCAGAGGGGGAAACAAATCATGAGAGACTCTTGACTCTGGGAAACAAACTGAGGGTTGGGGAATGGGAAGTGGGTAGGAGGATGGGGTAAATAGGTATGGGCATTAAGGACGGCACATGATGTGATGAGCAGTGGGTCTTATATGCATCTAATGACTCATTGAACATTATATCAGAAAATAATGTATTATATGTTAGCTAATTGAATTTAAGTAAAAAATGAAAAAAAAAAATGAAGAAAAGATCTTTCATTGGAGAAACACAAATTAGAATTATGAGATACGCTTCTGAATTAAAATGACCAACAGTACCTAGTCCTGGAGTTGATACAGAGCAAATTGCCCTCTCATATATTACTGGTGGGAATGGAAAATGTTATGGCCACTTTTTAAAACAATTTGATGGTTTCTTATTTTGTTAAATATATATTTACCATGTGACCCAGCCATTTTGCTCCCAGATATTTACCCAAGTTAGGAAAACATGTTGACAGAAATGTTCACAGCAATATCACTCATAATTGCCTAAACCTGGAAACAACCCAAATAGGCATTAGTCTGTAAATGCGTAAGCAGTTTGTGGTATATACATAAAATGGAATCCCATTTAGTAGTAAAAGGGAACAAACTGCTTATATATGCACCAGCACTGATAGATCGCAAAACCTTAGGTTAAGAATTTCTTATGAATTCTAGAACAGGCACAGGTATAGAGTAAGAAGAAGGTCTCTGTTGCCAGAGAGTTGGAAGGAATTGAATGCAGAATTGAGTGCCAGGAGGGAACTTTGGGGTGATTGAGTGCTATATATCATTATTTTGATAGTGGTTATAGACTTGTATCCATGTGTTAAAAGTCAGTTGTTAGGGGTATCTGGGTGGCTCAATCTGGTAAGAGTCTACCTTTGGCTCAGGTCAAATGGATGGAGCCCCATGTTGGGCTCCCTGCTTATCCAAGAATCTGCTTCTCCCTCTTCCTCTGCCCCTCTCCATGTCCTTTCTCTCTCTCAAATAAATAAAAATCTTAAAAAAAAAATCATTCCTTAATTTTATTCTTTGTGAATTATCTCACAAGAAAGCTGAATAAGAAAAAGCAACTTTTAAATAAATGATCAAACTCCCTTTAAGTCATAGAATGATTGGAGAGAATAACAGGTTTCATTTTTTTTCTGGACTTTCACAAACAAGGGTCTGCATGCTTTGGCAGAAAACGGAGAAAGGCTATCACCAAGCAGGTAGGTATCTAGCTTTGCTCATCAGTTGGAGATAAAACTTAAATTCAGAAAAGAAGTAGTAATTTTGCTTAAAATAAAATAAAAATAAAATTTCACTTAAGAGTCTCAAATTTCCAGTTATAAAATAAGTAAGTCACAATGAGGAAAAGTACAGCCTAGGGACTATAGTCAGTAATACTGTAATAACTGTGTGGTGACAGATGGTAACTGCACTTTTTGTGGTGAGCAGTGTGTTTGTAGAATATGTAAAACTGTCAAACTGCTATGTTGCATACCTGAAATGTACATAACATTGTATATCAACTATACTTCAGTTTAAAAAAGTACAAAGCATACTATAAAAACTAGTTGATATATTTAACTTTTTAGCTTCTTATTAACCATTGTCATTTTAATTCATTTTAGAAATACAAACCTGGTCGATGTGATGATATTTTGAAATGGAAGCCTCCCAGTCTAAATTCCGTGGATTTCCGCCTAAAGATAACAAGAATGGGAGGAGAAGGGTAAGTATGCACTTTTGCCACCATTTTTACATGAAATAATGCTGTTTGTATAAGGCTTCACTGTTTACTGGATACTTGACATATACTTTACCCCCTCAAAAGTAAAATACTTTATTTTTACAATATACATACATACCTGTACATCTGATTTTCAGCTGTTAGAACTAACATTTTGTATCCTAACATCTGATTTTTAGCTGTAAGAGCTACTAACATTTTGGTCTTCAAAAGTACAGGTATTTCTAATACAAAAAAATGAACTTTGTTAAATTGTAAAAGTGAAGATAGATTTTGCTTGACAATTCCTGCCAACTGAATTACAAATTAAGATATGATCATCGTTGTTACATCTAAGTGTTTTGAAGTAGGTCTTTTTTACTTCAAAAGAAACTACTTCAGGCTGGCATTTGGATAGCAAAAACATTTCTTCATGGTTTAATTGTTGACTTTCATTAAGATGTTTCATAATTAGGGGCACCTGGGTAGCTCAGATGGCTAAGCATCTGCTTTTGCCTCAGGCCCTGATCTCAAGGTCCTGGGATCAGGCCCCACAACGGGGGCACATAGAATGTATTACTAGTTTTAGAGGTAGGCTTCAGTGATTCATCAGTCTTAGGTAATATCCAGTACTTATTACATCACATGCCCCACTTAATGTCCATCACTGCATCCTCCCACCTCCTTCCCCTCCAGCAACCCTCAGTTTGTTTCCTATGATTAATAGTCTTTTATGGTTTGTCTTCCTCTCTGATTTCATCTTGTTTTATTTTTCCCTCCCTTTCTCTATGCTCTTCTGTTCTGTTTCTCAAATTCCATTTACAGCGAGATTGTATGATAATTGTCTTTCTCTGATTGACGATTTCACTCAGCATAGTACCCTCTGGTTCCATCCAGGTCATTGCAGATTGCAAGATTTCATTTTTTTTTTGACGGCTACATAGTATTCCACGGTATATATACATACCACATCTTCTTTAGCCATTCATCTGTTGATGGACATCTGGGCTCTTTCCATAGTTTGGCTATTGTGAACATTGCTGCTATAAATATTGGGGTGCAGGTGCCCCTTTGGATCACTATATTTGTATCTTGGAGGTAAATACCTAGTAGTGCCGTTGCTGGGTTGTAAGGCCTTGTGTGTGTTTTATTGATGTTTTGTTGAGTTTTGAAAAATTATTTTGTTTTGCTTTTTACAGATTATAATTCTTAGCATTGAAAAGCTACATGAGGCTGTATATAGAATGTGCATTTTCTAGGTAGCAAAAATGTTAATACTAATTTTTTTCTTGCAGTTACCCACTGCAGTTAAATACAGCAAAATGTTTAGTAGTTTGTCATCCCAGTTTTGCTTTCTTCTTAGTATATTTTAAACTATATTTTGTTCTTTGAAAATTTCACCTATTTTTAAATGACTTCTTACAAAAAAAGAGGAATTACTTTTAATTCTGGTACATCTTTAAAACACACCACAATATCAATACTTAAGATGATTTTATGATAGGAATGTGTAAGTTATATTTGTGTAGGTACATAATTTATTTATGTAACATGGGTGTCAGTTTTCAAAAATAGGGTATTTAATATGAAATACAGTGTAATAACTATTATATAAAGCATGTATTATTCAGTTAGCCAGAGTAGTATGCTTTTTTAATATAAAGAATGTTATATATTATAGCAGTTTTCACTAAATAAATGAGCTTACATCTAATGCCTATGTTAGATGCTGTATGTTAGAGGGCATTTTCAGAAATACGCCTTTAATAGTTGGAAAGGAGAGTAGCCATTTATCTAACTTGTAAGAATCTGAGCATGTGACGAGTGTAAGTGGTTTAAGATATTAAAATACCACAAGACAAGCTCATTTCTTTTCTTGATTGCACTTCTAAATATTTCTAAATCTAAAAGCTAATCTAATCTAAAGCTTAGAACGGAGTGGAATGTCTTAAAAAGTTCAATATAAGTACCAATCCTTGAAAATGTTTCTGGTTGCTTTTTTTTTTTTTTTTTTAATGAAGTCTTAGATTTTCAAAGTATGTTTTTAAGTTTTATCTAGCTGCATTACAGCAATAAAGTGGGTATAGTAGAGATTCTTGTTAGTTTAAAATTTAATACAAATAGAAAAATGTATTGTTAAATGCCTTGTCAATGGCAATTAAAATCTAAACTTTACCTTTTTTTTTTTTTTAAAACTCCTTTTAGTATCATTTCTAAAGTATATTAACTTTGATTTATCATGGCCTAAAATAACTCTTATATATCTTAGCTATTCACATTGTATTGAACTTTATAGACATACAATAGAGATTTTTATTTGAGATCTGTATGGTGTTTTAAAAAATATTACGGGTTTATATTAACTTCTCTATAACCAGAAACTGTGATCATTGTTTCAAAAGCTAGAATTACAAAGGTCTGTTCTGAAAAGTGCAAACTCTTGAGTACAATGTCAGTGGCTTATAGTGAGTAGTATACCTTTATCATTTTTGCAGCCTAGTAGTTTAGAGCACAGATTCTAGAGTCAGACCGCCTGGGTTTAAATATCCTTATTAGCTGTGTGACTTTGAGCACATTCCTTTTTTCTGTGCCTTATATTCCTCATTCATAAAATAGAAGTTGACCTCATAAGACTTAAGAAATAAAAGGATTAAATAAGCTAATATATGTACAACAGATGGCACATGGTGAGCATTTAAATGTTTGCTGTCGTTTTTAATTAAAATAGAAATTAAAGTCCATATTTCCTTTTTGTTGCTCCTGCAATTCTTTTGTTTGCTGAACTGTGTAAGTTCAATTTTCTATGTGAATTATTTCCCATTTGATTGCAATCCCTATTAATTTTTCCCTTTTAAAATGAATATATCTTCATCTTATTTGTGTAATTAATCATAAATTGTTAAACACCTGGAGAGCGAGAACATAAAGTCACAAAACTTATTTGTAGGTTTTTTTGGTAACAAACATCTTAAAATAACCTTGGCAATATGTGTAGTGGTTAAGAACACAGGTCTAATGGTTAAGAATGTGGGTTCTTGGCCCAGCCTGCACAGAATCAAATCCTAGCTCCAGTCCTTTCTTGCTGCTGTTACTTTCTTACTAATCTTTCTAAGCTTCCTCATCTGTAAAGTGCCCACAGTAATAGTTTTTATCTCTTGTTGTGAAGATTTGCTTATATTCTATAAAATTTGCAGGAGTTAACAAAGTAAATATGGGTTCTGCCGTTATAGACTGGTATTTACGAGCTATTGAGTTAAAATGCAAAAATACTGCTTTTTGAGATTTGGTAGGGATTAAATAAAATGATACATGTGAAGAATACACAATAGAATCTAATGTTTATTTTTGTCATTTTTGATGGTTATAGTTATTAATTTAACCTCAGCAGACTGTGTAGTTATATCATGGATTAAAAGTATGCCCTGCATAATCATGTGGGGGGGGAGTGCTCTGAAGGAAGAAGCTGCACTTTTCTGTGAAAAGACAAAGATGTTTGCTCTTTCTAATAGAAAATTCTAAAATCACAGTGAAGTTTAAGTTTTCATCCATCAAGTTGGCAAATATTAACAATGTTTCTTTTGATTGGGTTGACTGGGGTGTGAGCAAACAGACACTCTGCTATTCTGTCTGATAGGAATGCAGATTGGTACAACTCTTCTAGTAGGCGATAAGGTAGCATATGTCCTGAGGAAGTATGCTTCAAGTTTTGTGAAAGGAGAAGCCTTATTTGTCTTCTGCATGTTTGTATTTCTAGTACCTGGTGTGGTAACTTGTACATAATAGATACTCAAGAAATATTAAAAGGTGAAATATATATGTGTGTGTGTGTGTGTGTGTGTGTGTGTGTATACACACATACATTTTATTATATATATGTACATAAACAAAAATACCAAAAGGTGTGTGTATAAGAACTCCATTGAAGTATCACTTATAATAGGGAAATTGGAAATATTCAGTGTCCTTTTTTATTATTGTATAAATCTTTTGAGATATCTATATATTCATGTGTGTTTCTAGGAAAGTTGCTAAGAATGTTATAAATAGTGTCTTTTACAAATAGGTCCAGTCTGTTCAGATATAAGATTTTCTTAGAGGTTTGAAACTGAACTCAGACCTACTGTCCAGCTTTGTTGTTTGATTTTATATTCACACATAGTTATGTGATATTAATAGATACATCATTTTGGTCATAGGAAAAAAACAAAAACCACAACAATTACTTTAACAGAATTAATTTAATATGAAGAACTATAATAAGTTACTAAAGAACTGAAAAGGCAAAGAAGTGTTGAAGAGATAGTAACTTCAGGAAGGACCTACCATGCAAGGAACAAAGGAATGAAGGTGAATTACTAAAATATAAAAGTTTGGAGGGGGCCCTATAGAGCTCATTAGAAGTTTACTGCCAGCTGGTGGTGTTGTTGCCTCAAGATCTTGGAGGATTATGGCTCTGAATTTTGACATCTGAGGAAGGGTACAGTACTGGCTAGGAGGTGCTGATTTTTCAGAGGGGGCCAAGTGAAGCTGGTTCTAGGACTGTGGGAAAAACTAGTGGAGCCAACTGGTACTACTGGAATCAGTTGTCTCTCCAGGGTAGAAAACTTGTGCAAAGAGGAGAGAGTACATTCTTTCTTTCTTCTTTAGTCTTTTAGTACCCTTGCTCACCCACCAGGAGTTCTAGAATAACAAATTGGAGCATAGAGAGTGAGTTTGAAGCCAGGTGACAATAGCTTAATATTAGCACAGTGCATTTCTTTGGTTACTTATCCATTCAATTCTACACATACTTGAATTTCCATAGAACAGCAAAAAAATTCTTTCACTTGAGAGGCATATATTCTCTTGCTATTCAAAGTATACAGACAGGGGTCTCAATTAACCATTTACCCATTTCTGGGAGATAGTCGTGATATCTCTCTCTGGGCAATGTTAATCACTCCTCAAATTCAGTCACAGTTCTGTACAGACGGGATCGGGCGCATTCAGGATGTTATGGCTGT